GAGGGTACTAGAAGGTAGGATTCGTGTGGAGGAGGTCGAGGAGGCGATTTTTAGGATGAGTTAAGGGAAAGCACCAGGTATAGATGGCATATCGAATGAATTTTATAGGACTCATTGGGGAAGCATTAAACAATGCTTGGTTGAGGAATTGAATTGCATACTCACTGAGGGGAGGTTGGGTACATCACAGAGTACAGGGGTAGTTGCGTTGGTGCCCAAAAAGGGAGGGGGGAGGGGTCTGAGTGCATATAGGGCTATCTCTCTTATGTGTTCAGACTATAAAATCTTTGCAAAGATCCTAGGTAACAGGATGAGAAAAGTCATGGAATCGGTTATTCATAGGGGACAGCTAGGCATACCAGGTAGGAGCATGAGGGAAGGACATGGGCATATTAGGGAGTTTTGGGGGTAATGTCAAGGGGGGGTTTCCTCGGGCTTGACTGGCAAAATGCTTACGACTGTGTTGACAGGGATTTATTAAGTCTTATTTTATTGAAGCAGGGTTTTGGGGAGGGGATAGTACGATGGGTTGACACTTTGTATGCCTCAGCAATGGTACGAGTACAGGTGAACGGTAAGTTAGGGCAGCCTGTACATATGGAACAGGATTTGAGGCAAGGGTGCCCACTCTCTCAGCTACTTTTTGCCTGTGTGCAAAATCCATTTTATGAACTGGTGGATGGTGGTTTGGGGTGTGGGGTACTGGGTAATAACCGTGCAGCGAGTGTAGTCGGTTATGTGGATGAGACTTTGATTTTGTTAAAAGGGGAGGATCACTTGCAGATCGTGGGTAGGGTTGCTGAGTTTTTTGGGGCAGTGACTGGTATGTGCGTCAACAAGGCAAAATCAAAATTATTGGAGGTGGGTGCATAGGTGGGGGGTTTTGGGCGAAAGGTATGGGTGGTCAGTCGTGGAGCAACTTAAAATATATGGGACCGTGTACATGGCGGAAGAGAGGGAGGGTCGAAGGGTAAATTCTGAATTGGTGGTAAACGAGGCTTTAGACCGTCTCAGAGGATTAAGAGCTGGGGATGTCTCCTTGCAGCAGAGGGCAGTGGTGGTTAACTCTCTTGTTTACAGTAAGGTATGAGGTGTGGCCGAGGTATACCCATTATGGGGCATGGATATTCAGGAGCTGCAGAGAAGGGTCTTACGTTATGTTTGGGGTTATGGGAGAGCTTGGTTGAGTAGGGAGGTTATCATGACACATGTCCATCTTGGGGGCTTAGGCCTCATGGCATTGGGGCCACGGGCGAAGGCCCTATATGTAAAGCAGCGGGGTTCCTTAGGGAGGGCAGGGAGAGGGGAGTCTGGGTGGGTAGGGTAATGGTAGATATAAGCAAATGGTGGAGTGGCAGAGGATTAATAGAGTGTGAGGACATGTTGTGTTTGTTGTTGAAGTTGAAAAATGTTCAAGGATTAGGGCGGGGCAGATGGTGCGGATATGTTGCCATAGGAATTTGTGCAGGGGGTGTCTGTATTTCTGCTGTATAACTGGGGGGAAATATGGGATGGTTTTTGTAAGCTTAAGTTGGCATCAAGGGTTTGCAAATTAGTGTACAGATTCATCATGGGAATTTTAGCATCGAAATCAGTTTTAAGCAGGATGGGTTTGGTAAGGGAGGCGAATTGTTTACGTTGCGGTCTGGAAGAAACTGCGTTTCATGCGGTTCATTTTTGTGAAACATTGGAAGAGGTTCCTACGTGGTTGGGGAGAGTTTTAAGGTTTCTTAGTGGGGGAAGTATCTCAACTCTACGGGGCTTAGCCTTGGAAGTTAGCGGAGTGTCAAGGGAGGTAAGAAGAGCAATACTGTACGTGGTGGCTGATTTCCTACATATCTCATGGGGTATGAGGGAAACCGAGGAAGCAGTTAGGGTTAAGGCGATTGCAGCTGGTATTTATAGAATGTCTTGTAGGAATAGACTCCTTTACGGTGGAAGGTGGGGTACCATTTTCCCTGCAAGCTCTATTAGGAGTCTTACAGTGCAGCGGTTACTGCAACTGAGAGGGAGGGTAAGGCAGCGAGGGGTTGGACTCATCCCATGGTAACACCCAAAGGTATGTTAGGATCTTTAGGGTGAAAGTGGGAGTTAATGAGTTGCATGTTTTGTAGTTATGGATGTGATGGTGTTGTGCGACTGAGACCTTGATTTGTTCTAAGTCTGGTCATTACATCTAGCAAGACAGACAAAACATAATTTTTCGGTATATGCTTTTCCTTTTGTGAAACTGGACCAGTTCCTGACCATGGCCGAGTTTGTAACTCTTATTTTGCTGATGTTTTTTGGTGACATGGTGAAGTCTGTTGGGTCTTTCCCAGGGTCCTCGTAGGTATTGTTCTGACATGTAGCACACAGACGTCATGCTGATATTCAGCACCAATAGTATAGTGATTAATTGTCTTTTTAGGGGATTATTTTAAGCATTCTAATTAGTGTGTGAGAGAAATATTGTCTTTTGGTTATCCTTTTGTAAAACGACCACCCCATGAGGTTTGTCGTTAATTTATCTGACTGAGGACACAATGTTTCAGCTACCTAAGATTCTATCATGTTAAGTAGTTATATAACCTCTAGGGATTTCTACTATTATGTCATTACATGAAAGAGCAAACCTTATTGTTCTGGGAACGTAGAAGTGTGTCCTTTTTTGTCATCTTTGAACCTTTGTCAGGTCCATTGTCCCGCACGCTTTTGCGGAGTAATATGTAGCTCTGTCACCAGGGGTTTATTACATATAATTTTACTACTTTTGAATGTATATAGGCTATGCTGGTCAAATGAGCTTTTTTACTCATTCTTACACCTTTCGAGTTGGACCACTTGGCAAGGGTATACAACTGGGGCAGGTGGACGCCAAGGTCTTCCAATTTACAGTTATTTTATCATATGAACATGTGGGTTCATAATTGATTTGCGAGTTGGTTATGGGTAACGGGTGTTTTATCATGTTGTGTACTGTTTTGGTTTGTACTGCCTTTTTTGCATTTTGGCTCCAATTAACACACAAAAAAAGGCTATGACCGTTTAAAATTAGATTGATGGTGGTTTTTGACTGATGTAAATTTTATACGTACATTATAACATTGACACATGGGTTCTATACCAGTAGGGTTGCATACTGGAATATATAGACTGAGTTCAAAAGGTGTTAATGTACTCCTAATTAAAGTTTTCAATGGATAGATGATAAGGTAAACATGTGTATGGTGTGAAGAAGAACAGTATCTCGACAGTGGTGGTAAGTCGAAATTATCCCACATTCGACCTTATGGCCCATACACATATGGGTGTTAATAATGATTGTACGTGGTAGTGGTAGGAGCTTACAATTGATCCCATGTCATAAATAACAAAAAGGCACAATAACGTGCAGTGCTCCCCTTCCTTTGTATTTGACTGGCTCGTCTTCCTTATTTCCCACTTCTACCACTACCACTACTACTACCTCTTCTTCTTCTACTACATCTACTGATGAAATTAGACACATGTGCGGCGTCTGGTTGTCTTTGTTGTGGACGTTTCGCCATCCAGTGGCTGGCTGGATGGCGAAACGTCTACGGTGGGGATGCCCGGGTGTTGTGCATGTGTCATTTCATCCTGTCGGTATTATATACAATTCTTGTACTACTACTACTACTACTACTACTACCACTACTACTACCTCCACCTCTTCCTGCCTATATATAGCCGTCCTGCTCCTCCTCTGTTAGTGTGACTTTGTCAATGGTCCAAGTCGGACCGAAACGTCGTCGTAAGCTTCTGTCTTTTATGTGCGGGTTATTTGTGTACCCATGTCATAAATATGTACTTACTTACCTCATGGACTGTATACTGAAAACTTTTGTATTACTCGTGGAGTTATTATGATTTTCTGTACCTGTTCTATTGTACATAAAGTTTTTAAATAAAATATAAATAAAAAAACATATAAACTAAATAATGTAGATCTTAATATTACTGATTGCGAGAAGGATTTAGGAGTTCTGGTTAGTAGTAATCTAAAACCAAGACAACAGTGCATTAGTGTTCGCAATAAAATTAACAGAATCCTTGGCTTCATAGCAAGAAGTATAAATAATAGGAGTCCTCAGGTTGTTCTTCAACTTTATATATATTCGGTTAGGCCTCATTCAGATTATGCTGCACAGTTTTGGTTACCGTATTACACACTGGATATAAATGTGCTGGAAAACATGTATCACAAATCTTCCCTATGAGGATAGACTGAGGACCCTGAACCTGCACTCTCTAGAAAGGCGTAGAATTAGGAGGGATAAGATTGAGGTGTATAAATGTAAAACAGAAATTAATAAAGGGATGTAAATAGCGTGCTAAAAATATTTAACATAGACAGGACTCGCAGCAATGGCTTTTAATTGGAAAAATTCAGATTCAGGAAGGATATAGGAAAGCACTGGTTTGGTAATAGAGTTGTGGATGAGTGGAACAAATTTCAGAGTACCGTCATAGACGCTAAGACGTTGTGTAGTTTTAAAAATAGGTTGGATAAATACACGAGTGGGTGTGGGTGGGTGTGAGTTGGACCTGACTAGCTTGTGCTACTAGGTCGGACCCAGTGCTCCTCCCTTAAGTGACGTGTCTGACCTCACTAGGTCAAGGCATTGGCTTAAGCCGGTACGAGAATTGGAGCTGCCTCGCATAGGCCAGTAGACCTGTTGCTGTGTTCCTTCTTTCTTATGTTTTTATGACAGCAGTGTATGTATTATATGCATTTACTTCACACTCCATTTTTCTTTTACCTTTTCAAAAAATTTAAGTAAATTATCGTGAAAGAAACTTATTTTGTAATGCTCTGTTTTCTCCATATAAATTACTTTTGTGAGCATTGTTTGTCATGTTTAAAGAAATTAACAGAACATCTCAAGATATCACAAAATTGTTTGAAATATTTTTTCCTGAGACATTCGTTCATACATGGCCTCTACTACTGCACTCGGTGTTTATTGAGACTTAACCTAGTTTTAATTCACATGCAGGTCCTCTACGAACCAATGCCTGTGATCTACTTATACGCTGTCAACACCACCAGTGGCAAGGACCCCACCCTGTACGAGTGTCCCATGTATAGGAAGCCCAAGCGAACTGACGCTACCTACATCGGCTCTATCGACCTGGAAACTACTGACTATCTCCCTTCCCACTGGACACTGCGAGGAGTAGCTCTACTATGTGACATAAAATAAAGGAACCAAGTCTCAGTATAATGCAAATGTAATACAATATAGTGCTATACAATAAAATACACATGCCTGACATGTTACCTGTACCCTCGTATATTCCTTTCTCATGCCCTTGCTTCAGTAAGGCAATGTATAATGCAGCATGATAGAGTAGAGCACAAATTGTATTCTTATGTGTGTAGTCTGGCATCAAGCACACACATTAGCGTGGATAGAACGAACATTATGGTCAATATATACTCTGATAAACTGTTAGTGAAAATATATTTTTTTCTTGTCCGCCCTCTTACTGTGTTTTTTTGTCTAAGGCTCCGTCTATACTTTATTAAAACCCAAGTTACAATAATAATAATAATAATAATAATAATAATAATAATAATAATATACTCAAACTAAGCATTAAACCCGAAGGGGTCATGAAGCCTATAGGGTGGGATGTGTTAAAAACGTAATATAGAGGTTAGAGATTAGTATGTGTAAGCAGGTTAAGAGAGGTAGGGTTAACGGAGACAGTGGAGATTGTTGAAGGGAAAATATTATCAAAGTTAGTGTAATAAGTTAGTTTCCATTAAAAAGTCAAAGTGGGAGTCTACGTCAAAAGGTGTGACTGTTAGTGAGGTGGTCAGGTAGACTAAGTTCATTAAGGCGGTAAAGGAGTCGGCAGTAAATTCTGTGTTTCCGCTGTATAGCAGCAGGAACGCAGAATTAAGAGATGATGAAATGATAGCGTAACTAAGCAATAACACAACAACATTGCACTGCTGACCCTGCCACTTGCAGGACACAGTCACTGCTGCTCCCACTCAAAAAGTATCCCTTCGATCCCCGTCGGGAAGATAAGTTTTTAGCCTACAATAGTTTATACTCTTTCATGATGCTATCGCATCGTGTAAAGAATAGACCCTATGGTAGAGTTATAAATGACTCTACCAAACTAGCCCCTGCAATACGCTCGTTGAAGGACTCCTTCATTGTTGTCTGTATTGACAATGTTGAAGCCTCCAAACTCATGGACAACTCTGCTATGAAGACACTATAAGACCCACAATTCAACATGTCTCCATCTCCATCCTTGCTGACAAAGCGTTCTATGTAAAACGGCTTGACAAGATCGTCACGTCCCTACCTACTGATGACCTGAAGACTTCTATCGAGGAACAGAACACTTGGGCCTCGGTAGATACCATCACCAAGATTCCTAATTCCTCCTCCATGATCAAAATCACCATTTCTGACATCATCATGGTTGCCCATGTAGACTCGCCCACAGAATCTCTTCCGAGGAAAATGAGGAAAATGATCAAGATACCCACACCAGTAAACCTACATAGGACACCCTAACTTTCTACACGTCTCCATCAATGACCTGCACGGAGTTGTAAAAGGTCTCTGTTCTGGGACTGTCAAGTTTGCCTGTGAGTCACCACTCCGCTTCTCACATACTCAAACCACTCAGTTTCACCTTTAGAAACAAAACACAATTGTACCACCTCTCCAGAAGTAACTTTCAACTGTAACACCTCTCCAGAAGTAACTTTCAACTGTAACACCTCTCCAGAAGTAACTTTCAATAAGTCTGAAAATGGCTCCTCTTCAAACGTACCACTTTGATCATCGGTCTAAATAACGCCTACAAATAAGCTGCCTTCAGTTGATCCTACCTGCTGCCCTTTTCTGCGACCTAACTTGCTGCCCAACTATTCAAGACCTCCGATGTACACCTGCTTCTTCTGATTTTGATTTTCGCCCCGCGAGTGCTTAGCTGTTGGGTTTAGCCCTGTCACTCTACGACTGAAGACACTCTTCTCCATCGCTGTTGTTCGCCTGTCCCGTCTTCCCCGCTCACCCAACATAGGAGTCGTACCTAAACTCTTGTTTGTTCGTTTGCAAGCACTAGGTAATCCTCACACTGGGTGCCGAGCATTTTTCTATGAGATAACCGTGAGTGACGTGTCTGTCCGATATGTTGGCAGGTATATGTAGTCTCCCATACATGACAGCGATGATAAGAAGACGGTCAGAAACGTAAACATGGTTTGACAGAGTGCAATTCATTGTGGACCAACTGAAACTGCCGTTGTAGCCAACGATCGCGTAGTTGTCGAGAGATCACTGCAAAATGGCCTGGGAATGGAATACCCCTGTATGAAATTAGGTCCTGTACTGCCGACCGAGTGGCAAAGTCTGCCTGTTCATTACCCCGAATATCAGCGTGTCCAGGTACACTAGAAATGTTGAATAACCAAAGTTGTATACGTCGAACGATGGGATGAATAGAATCAAAGTTCTGGATAGCTTGCAATGCACTATCGGAGTCTGAAACTACTACAAATGACAAAGAAGGCATTGATACAGTACATACGATGATCATGAAAACTGCATTCAACTCGGCTATGAAAATACTGGCTGAGTCTAATAAGTGAACTCGTATAACTCTGTCCGAAAAACTGTTGCATTACCGAGGAATTACAACCACCAATGCAATGGCGTGAGAATAAAAATGGAAGTCATGAAAAAAGTGAGCGTGAAGCTATCGTCTTGTAGGTAACTGAACTTTCGTACATGGAAGAGGGGAAGAAGAAACAAATCGTCTGATCTTCCTAATGGGGAGAGAAAAGTAAGATGCTGGATGGACATACTTTGGAGGTAAATTAAGGGAAGCCAATAGAGAGTGAATAGGGAGAGACAAGGGAAGTAGTAAAGAGGAGTGGCGAAAAGAACCACAGAAGACTTCCAGTATAAGGGTAACACTCCTGAAGACCAAACATATAGTAATAATAATAATAATGATAATAATAATAATAATAATAATAATAATATCTTTATTTCTACAAGTATATGTACAAGGTATACAGGCCTAGCTGACATCAATGACATACTACTACACAGAAAGCCGCATGTTATGCTGAGCATTTCGAGCAAATTAGGTCAGTCAATCGTCATTCACCCTTGGTGGAGGTCGGACGTCAGCAACAGCACTCGCATCAGTTGGTAACTCTGAGTGATTTTCGCAAGATGGCGCAAGCCACAAGGAGGAGAATCAACACTGTGTGAAAAGAGATCCTGAAAGGCACGGTGTATAACTCGAACACATCTATTCTGTTGCCTGCTATCTTGCGCGACTCCTATGGCATCAACAATGAAGACCTGCATGGTATTTCAATGAACGGCTGGACGAGGATTTTTGTGAAGCTTGTGTCGGCGGCGATCTACAACAAGATGGTGGAGAAGTACCAGGAAGTGTGTAAGATTGTTAATCCCTGTTTGGAGGTATGGATGAGGGATGTATCCAAGTAGTACACTTGGGTAAAGTTAAGGAATGTGCCTTTTGAAGCGGATGAGAAGGATATACGTGCGGGGTTTGACGTGTATGGCGTTATACATCTAGCAACTATGAGACGATGGAATGAGGGTAAGTATGCTGGCATACGTGAGGGCACTTTTACCCCTTTACCACTTTTATGCGAAGATCCATACCGTCCTATGTGGTGTTGAGCGATTTCAGAACGCAGATATGTTACATATGCGGGACAGAGACTTACATGTAGACTGTGCGGGGCCTATGAACATGTGTCCTAAACGATCAGTTGTGCAATAAAAGTATACAATACCGATAAGATGAAAGTTAAGACACATGTGCAACATCTGGTTATCTTTATTGTAAACGTTTCGCCATCCAGTGGCGATAAAGCCACTGGATGGCGTAACGTCTGCAATAAAGATAACTAGATGTTGCACATATGTCTTAACTAAACGATCAGTGCCTGAGAATCGCGGTGCAGGGAAGAGAGTGGAGAGGGATAGTGAGGTGATGAATCAGACTCCAGGACGCAATTCTGAGGCTCAAAAGACATGGAGTGATATGGTGGAGGGTAATTTAGAGGAGTGTATAACTTTACTGGAGGTTACACAGGTCATGAGAATGGAGGACGAGGCGGGTCCAGAGGATTTGGGTAGCTGTGCGTCAGATGCAATAAACTGTTACAAGGATTACAGGATGATCATAATGAGCAAGAAGTCAGTATAATGTAAAGGATGGAGGACCTGTGGAGGAGGGCAGGATATGTAGGTAATGAGGGTAGGAGACAGATGTCACTGAGGGTATGTGAGACGGAGGTTGAGGTCCACAGGGAGGAGGGTGTCGATGAGGACATGCAAATAACCGGTAAATCTCGTAAGAGAGGCTGGTACATGTGACAGTGATGATGTCCTAACACCGGCCCAGAGACCGGGTAAAAAAAACCATTGGTGGTAGTGTCAAGAAAAGTCACAGGGGATGGGGGGAAGGGGCAGTTGAAGGGTGAGGCTAGAAAAGGGGATAGTCATAAGTTTTTTTTTTTTTTATTATTTAAAACATACAATACATTAACTAAACAAAAGTATACAGTACCAGATCGTCGACAGACAATATAAATTCATCATTGTCTAAACACTGTAATATGCAGTAATATGTCAGAAATATACACTTCATGCAGCTGATAGATGTATACTGCCATTATACATAATTCCATTACAACAAAATATAACTGTGCATGTAATACAAAATAAAGAATCCTCTTACCCCTTCCCGTCTGCTAATTTCAATATACTCACAGAATAATTACATGCCGCAAAAAATGCAAGCAGTGTAACTACCCCCCCCCCCCTATTTGACCCAGTTCACCAAAATGTACAACATTTCACCAGTTAGTTAGTTATAAACTAACAAAACTAATTTAAGCCTAAGAACATATATTGAAGACAATAACTCTACAGTAGTGAAAAATGCCAGCTGCTATCCTGGAGTTTACCTGGAGAGAGTTCCGGGGGGCAACGCCCCCGCGGCCCGGTCTGTGACCAGGCCTCATGGTGGATAGAGCCTGATCAACCAGGCTGTTACTGCTGGCTGCACGCAATCCAACGTACGAGCCACAGCCCGGCTGGTCAGGAACCGACTTTAGGTGCTTGTCCAGTGCCTGCTTCAAGACAGTCAGGGGTCTATTGGTAATCCCCCTTATGTATGCTGGGAGGCAGTTGAGCAGTCTCGGGCCCCTGACACTTACTGTATTGTCTCTTAACGTGCTAGTGACACCCCTGCTTTTCAATGGGGGATGTTGCATCGTCTCACAAGTCTTTTGCTTTCGTTCTGAGTGATTTTCGTGTGCAAGTTTGGTACTAGTCCCTCTAGGATTTTCCAGGTGTATATAATCATGTATCTCTCCTGCCTGCGTTCCAGGGAGTACAGGTTCAGGAACTTCAAGCGCTCCCAGTAATTGAGGCGTTTTATCTCAGTTAT